AAGGCTCTAGTAGGTTTACCCCAAGAATAAAATTGTTCTAAGGTAGTTATGAATATTAGTTTGAGGTTATGTATATAAAAATATATGTACAGTTGATGCGGGACTAATACTGTAAAAGTAACCTATTAAACATAAATAAAATACTGACCAAAAGGATCACCTTAAGACCGAAAAAAAAAAAAATTTGAATTTGAAATTATATATTTGCATAATTAAATATAAGAAATTAAAAATATCTTATAGATAAACCCTTTCTAAATCATGTAAATCATATAGTTTGTGAGCTACCCAGTAGGACCATAAAAGGTTATCACAGATATGCCAATCAGCTCTTTTCTAACAATTAACTCTATAAAAACTAATATAGGTTTTTATTACTTTAAAAATTCGATTGTTTAATTAGTGCAGATTATCCAATTGGTACATATTGTCGATCTTTTATAGTCTCTCTGGGGTACACCCTAGTGTCACCCAAAAAAAATAGTAGCCAGTTTAATTTTGCTGGCTTACATGTGATTTTGGATACTGATTGCCAGATAAATTATGAATTTTTTTATTCAATGAAAATAACTTGAGTTATAGTGAATAAATAAATAAAAATAATAATTAAAATAAGGTAATTTAAACAGTTTATCTTAAATTCATAGAACCTTTACGCACTATAAAGTAGCTTACTACACCAATTACAAGTTAAATTACTAAGCTATAAAAAAAAGAACTATTGCTAGTTGTTGAAACGTTCAGGTATTTTCGGGTAGTGAAGGATTGGTTTGTTATTGAATGATTGGTTGTATAATGGGTAAAGGTGAATTTGGATGCAATTTTTCAGAAAAATGGCCTTTTAAACTTACTTTTAGCTAATAATTAAACATGTAGATATTACAATATTCTATATATTTAATTATAGATTCAAAGTAAGTTTAAAGATCATTTTTGTAAAAACTTGCTTTGTAATAATTTTAATTACAAATAATTCTCAATCAAGATTGGCTAATTTTGGCAAAATAAAAAAGATGAGTAGCATTTAATTTATTTTAAATACTAAAGTTTGTATTTACTCACTAAATTAACAAAAATAAATAAAAAGCAGAATCGTGAACTTAGAGTTTATTTAAGTGATCGATCAAGATCTTTATACTCAAATGAATTAACGCTAATAAAACAAAATCATATACATATATTGTCCAGAATCAATTCTGAGAACTGACTAGCTATTTCCTTAAAACAATATTTAGCTTAAATATATATCCTGTTCTGAATTTTTGAATTTTTATTTCACTAATTCCCGACCAAAATGCTTGTGTTTTAAGTTCATTGATAATAACTTTTCGACATCCTTAGTCTTAATCTTTCTACTTAACAACAAGAACTAAACAAAATGATATGAGCATCACTATGTAATGATAGTTATTTATAAAGAACTTCATACTCACAATAAATTAACGCGAACAAGTATACTTACTCAATTAATGCAAACCAAATAAGTAAATGCTCACAAACTTGAATCACTTTATTTTAATTAATTAAAAAATTCTTTTACACTCATCATCCAAATTAACACGAATAATAACAATTTTAGCGATATAACTAATTATCATGTTTGGTTCGAGTTATTATATTTTATTGTTTAAATGAGTTGTTTTGCTTAAAATATGATGCACTTTATTTTGTGAATTCAATACAGTAAATATTCTCGAAATCAAAGCGAAAGTAAAATGAAAGTCAAAGTGAAAGTCAAAACAAAAGTCATAACGAAAGTCAAAACGGAAAGTCAAAGCAAAAGTCAAAATGAAAGTCAAAGTTAAAGTCAAAATAAAAGTCAAAGTGAAAGTCAAAGTGAAAGTCAAAGTGAAAGTCAAAGTGAAAGTCAAAGTGAAAGTCAAAGTCAAAGCAAAAATCAAAACGAATATTATTTTTAAGCATGATAAACACAACTTTACCAGCAATCAGTTTTCGAAATCGATGTAAGCCAACAAAAAATCTGACTACTATTTTTTTGAGGCGACGCTATGAAGCTCTTGACAACCACCTATTTAAAATTGATAAAAAAAATTATTTTGATTCTACATGAATAAATAATTCAAATACAAAAATTTTCATCAATTTTAGATAGGTAGTCGTCGAGATATCAACGATTAGAAAGAACTTGGATAACTATCAAAAGCTGCGGCAAAATTTTATCAAACTTTGAGCAAAGATATCTTGACAACTACCTATCTAAAATCAATGAATTTTTTTTATTCCAATTCTATATGCCAGTATAATTAAAATAAAAAAATTTTCATCGATTTTAGATAGGTGGTTGTCGAGATATTTTCGCTCAAAGTTTAAAAAAAAACTTGAATAATTATCAAAACAAGTTACGGCAAAATTATTTCCGAACTTTGAGCAAAAATATTCAATAACCATCTGTCTAAAATTGATGAAATTTTTTTTATTCTGGTTCTACATCCTATATAATTAAAATAAAAAAAATTTATCGATTTTAGATGGTTACCAAAATATCTTTAAAAAAAACAAAATTAATTACAATTGAATAATTTCATCCGACTATTCAAGTAGAATCTTATATGATTATAAGGAACACATTTTAAAAATTATATGATCATTCTGATATGTCATAACGGTTAGAACGCGGGTCCGTAGATTGCACGAGCTACAGGTTCGAATCTGGCTAGTGCCGTGTTCTCCAGCGTATACTTATTTGCGCTGGTAATACAAATTCAAAAAAAAGAAATTTTTCTATGTAGATCGCAAGATCAGGTGCAACATTTGTGTTACGTGAGATCGAAGGCTTTTTCAAAACATTGCTGGTAACTCAAAATTTTGCTTAAAAAATCACCTTTTACATTCTAATAAAAAAAATTCCTGGCCAAATTTTACTATACAACTTTTCTTATATCAACATTAACCTTAACCCTAATGCTGATCAAAATTTCACGTGTTTTTAGCAAAATAACAACAAACGAATATTTACTATTGGCACGTGATTTATATCACCAGCGCAAATAAGTAAACCGGTGTTCTCCATACTCGTAGTGAAAATTGCCCAGTTTGAAATATCAGGTGATCATTGGCCGATTAATTGGGAATTGCTACCGACACAACAAAACACGTGCTTATCGACACAGCAAGTGACCAGCACTAACCTTAACGACACAGCATGGCCGGTACTATATTTAAGGTTAGTGTTAGAATGTAGTAGAATTAGGAATTATGTCACGTGTTTGCTGTGCCGGTAGCAATTCCCGATTAATTTGGTTATTTTGCCCTAAATTGTGATTATTGCGAATTTGTCCTATACTAATGATCAAATGATTCGATTTTATCACAAAATTTACAAAATTTACCAATCATATATTGTTATCTCTCTTGCTATTCCAGATGGGGGTAGAAGGTAACTCAATAAAATCGATATTCGAATCTTACAACTAGATATATACATTTTAATATTAAATTTTCTGTTATCCTGTAGTTTTTAAAAGGTCTGGTCTAAAGTTGTTAGGTGAAACCTAGAGGTTTCACCAAAAAAAAATTCAAAAGACAAAATGGCGAAAATGGCGAACTGGTGAAAGGTAACGAAACTGATGAAGGGCAATAATAGTGGCAAAAGAAAACTAATGTAATTGATAATTTTGTTCTCTGAATCTCATTTCATATTTGTCTAGCAGTAAGTAATCAAAGATAATTGTGAAATATGTTCTGGTTTAAATTATTATACACTACTGTACCCTAAATCTAACGTTTAACCCATCTTTTCACTATATCTTCTTAATTTTTTTAATTTCACAAATTTGCCATAATGTATCAATCTATTAGTCGTTATTATATATTCTTAGTGGCTTAATACATGCAACTATGTAGACACAAAATATCATGTATACATGGTTATATAAACTTGATAGAATAAGTTATTTGTAGGAAAATCTATATAAGTTAGATTTAGTATTATATGGCTTTAGTATCTTAAAAATTAGAATGCATGTATCAATCCATATATTTTAAGCTTGTTACCCACAGGTATGCATTACAAATAATTGTAAACTATATAAATATATATAATTAATTGCAAAAGTAGTCGATGTCTGTGTGTCCGCAAATTACGAATTTTGATTGGCTAGATCAGGTGTAACATAAAAAAACAACAATCAAAACAATCCAATCGATGCTTATTGGCTAGGTCTGCTATAATATAAAAAAATCTATTTAATAATTAGTTCTTCGAACTCTATTTTCCTAGTTTAATAGATCACGTAAAAAATCTTTCAAGATTTTATAAATTTGCTATAAAATTTTTTTGTATGCTATAGAACAAATGCATCTTTTTAAATGTTTTTTTTTTTTAATATTATCTAGAATAGGATTCAATATGGCATAAATTTGTAATACTTCAACATGCAGTTTCTTGGGTTTTTTTTTCAAAGTAAACGCTAATAGTAAAATTTCAGATACTAACCCGTTTAGAGTCAAATGGTAGTTGGAATAGCAAGGATTAATGCCGACTAACTTTTGCTCTTATAAACTATTGGTTGGTATCTTAAAGTTTTATTTTATATTTCCCAAATTAATATCGAAATAAAAGTTGTACAGTATATATGATGCACTATATACAATTGTAGGACTTTTCAATGTAACTTTTCATGAACGCCATGTGATAAATTTACTTGTATTAATTTTTACCCATAGCATCAAAAATTGCCTGTTGTATCTCATATAAATCGATGGCAACTCCCGGCGCAGAAGTTTGAGAAAGAACCTGAAGAGGAGGGAGAGGAGGAGCACATCTCGCATAAATGCAATCACGGTCAATTGTAAGCTATTTTGTTTGGGGGCCGAGCAGAAATTACTAACCCTTCCGTTGACGTCAACAGTCCTAAACTCAATCTACCATTTTTAAATATGAGTAAACAGGTGAAAAAAAGGTTATTCACAAAACTCCATTATATTTACCTCTTGAATTGGATCAAATGTCGTAGTGTTTTGGTTTAGTTGAAGAGTTGCATGTCGACAGAATTTCAGACACTATCGGAAATACAAATGAATGATGAAATGGAAAGAGCAAGAAAAATCACATAAATTACGGAACAATACTGAACTCACAAACGACGCAATGGTTGTCCATTCTGATCACGGTGCTTATTGCTCCAATTGCCCAATTTAAAAACAATCACATCCTCGCAACGGTTTGGGACTAGCCAAAAGTTGTTGATCTTGTCCTTTACATGTTCAAGCGTTTCAAAGGAAGCAACCTCGAGGATAATAGTCAGCCATGGGTTCCCCTAAAGTTTACAGATTAACATCAAATACATATTTTTAGATCCAAACAAATAATATTCGAATTACATACACCATTATCGCATGGATTAGACACCGGGTTTGGCAGATTTAGCAGACGTCAGGGCACAAAACAGCCATCAGGTTCTTTGTACTCACCTATCGCCAGGTCGTATAAACCTGAATTCAACGTAATTAAGCTCGATATAATTAGATAAGCATGACCAGGGCGATCTCCGATTTTACGGGTCATGTGGGTGGCGCCACCAATGTTCATTATGTACGTACGTACGTACGTACAATATGCAATGCAGGGTCAAAATTTTCGTTTGCAACAATTGCTGACCCACATGACCCATTAGATACATGCAAAAACTAAAATATGTAAACCTACTTTTTGCTCCCCAACCCTAATGATATCCTGAGGTGCTGTATTTCTAAGTTGATCAAAAATTTGGCGATTGAATTCACCTATTGCAACTTCATGGTCACCAAATGGCAACTCAATAATCATCACAATGCCCTTATCATAGTCCCAAAATCTTCCCGCCTTGGCAATTTCAGATTTCTTGGCAAACTTCTTGAATGGTATATCTCTTGCAAGAACCAAAGGAAGTCTAATGAAACGAATCGAACCTTAACATGGACAAATAGAAAAATTACTGTGACTTTCATTATGTTTCAGCTACCTTTCACCGTTAATAGTCGGATGAGTTCCTTCAAACCACCAACTTTTTTCTTTATCGGTTGCCTCCATAACGTATTCAATTAAATATTACCAAAACTGGCTGAAAAAAAAACTTATCGTTATTAGATGTACTTTCCGAAAACAAATTAATTTAAAAATTTTATAATAAATCTCATTACGAAATTGCTCCTGGAAATCAATGTAAGATTCGGGTAAATTTCGGCATGAAAATCGATTGGTATAAAAAAAAATTTTGGGATTACCCGAAAATATTAAAGTTAACTAATAACAAATCAAGTGTAGTCTAGTTCGAATTTGCTTAAAGTTAAATAAGTTTATTATTTATTGGGTCGAGTTCAATTGCGCATTATACAGTATGTTGCTGATTAGCGTATTCATATTAACAATATATCAATGCAAAAAAAGATTAAAGTGAAATTAGAAACTGTCAGTTTTGCAAGAACTCATTTTTGTTCAAACGTGTGTGGAGGACTTCTATTGGTTGAAACGTATATTAAAAAATATAAAATTTATATCGACATTGATTTTGGAATCGACCAGGGCAGCCATCAAATTTACTGTCATGTGAGCAGCGCCGCCTAGGTTCAATATACAAATATCCAATAACGATAACAATAGATCCGGTCTGTAGCCAATCACGTGTAATGAAGATTATCTGACAATAGCCAATAAAAATGAACTTAAACCAATAAAAACGAATTTCCGATACTTCAAAAAAATTAAAAATGGGAGTCGTCGAGGAAAATAATTTTCAAAATATATCTAATGGAATTCCCGATTTTTTAAAGCTTATAAATGAATTGAAAATTAAAGCTAAAG